TCTGCCCATTGCTGAAAGTGGAGTATTGAAGTCCCCCAATACTACTATATTAGAGTCTAAGTCTCTTAAGTTCCTTAACATAACTTTTAAATAGTCCAGTGCCCTGTAATTAGGTGCATATATGTTTATAATAGTTATATCTTCCTGTTGAATTGATCCCTTAATTATTATATATTACCCTTCTTTGTTTCTCTTAACAGTTTTTGTGTTAAAGTTTATTTTGTCTGATATTAAGATGGCTAATCCAGATTTTTTTGGTTTCTGTTGGCATGAAATATCTTTTTCCAACCTTTCACTTTCAGTCTGCATGCAACTTTGTTGGAAAGATGTGTTTCCTGTAAGCAACAAATACATGAATTTTGTTTTTTAATACATTCAGCCAGACTGTGTCTTTTAACTGGAGAGTTAAAGCCATTTACATTCAATGTTACTCAATAGTAGTAACTTTGCCCTGCCATTTTTCCAAAGATATTCCTAATTTATACTTTGAGCTTCCTGTGATCCTTTATGGATTTTCTTCTTTTACCTTCTTTTGTATTGATGCCCATGTTTCTGTGTTTCTGTGTGTAACACATCTTTAAGCATCTTTTGCAGGGATGGACAAGTGGTGACAAATTCTTTCAATTTCTGTTTGCTATAAGAGGTCTTTATTTCACCTTCATTCTCAAATGAAAGCTTTGCAGGATATAATATTCTGAGATGGCAGGTTTTTTTTTTTTCTCTTAGTACTTGGGCTATATCTCGCCATTCCATCCTAGCCTGTAGGGTTTCTGATGAGAAGTCTACTGTGAGTCTAATTGGAGATCCTCTGATAGCAATCTGACATTTCTCTCTTGCACATTTTAGCATCTTTTCTTTATGTTTCACTGTGATGAGTTTGATTACAATGTCTCGTAGCAAGGATCTTTTCTGTTCACGTTTATTGGGAGATATGTGTGCTTCCTGTACTTAGATGTCTCTTTCTTTCTCCAAACCCAAGCAGTTTTCTGCTGGTATCTCACTAAAAAGGCCTTTGAATCCTTTCTCTCTCTCCATGCCTTCAGGAACTCCTAGAACCTGAATGTTGGGTTTTTTAATAATATCCTTTAGATTCCCAGCAATATTTTTTCGATTTCTAATTTCCACTTCTTGTCTTTGGTTTGACTGTATACTTTCCTGTGCTCTGATATTCTCTCTTCTGCCTCACTGATTCTGTTTTTAAGGCTCTCAACTTTGTTTTTAATTTGTTCTACTGAATTTTTCATTTCATTTTGATATCTCTTCAATATGTCAATTTCATGTTCTACTAAATTCCTCATTTCATTCTGATTCCTCCTTAAGATTTGATTTTCATGACAGAGATTTTCTTTCATGTCCTGCATGGATATTGGTAGTTCAAGCATTTATTTTTGATTACTTCTAAATATCCTTATCATAAATATTTTGAGTTCCATTTCTTGCAAACTGTTGAAATCTTTACTTAGTATATACTAAGTTGATCTTCTGTATATAGATAATTGAAAGTGAATCTTGATTAAGAATGGGATGAGAGAGGGAGTCTGAGATGGGATGGTTGTGGGTGGGAGGTAGGTTATGGCGGGAAAAGCCACTAAAATCCAGAAATTGTACTTTCAAAATTTATATTTACTTAGTAAACATTTTTTAAAAATGAACCTACAATGAATCAGGGATAAAATCTAAGATCTGAAACTATGTGTCTGTTTGTCATTTGTATTTTATCCTTTGAAAAATGTCTGTTCAGATCATGAGCCCATTTCTTAGCTGGACTGTTTGTTTTGTTGGTGAGTTTCTTGAGCTGCTTAAGTATATTAAATATTAATCCTTACCAGAGGATTACTAAATTACTACAAGAAACCATAGGGGAAAAACTGCAGGTCATTAATACAGGCAAAAACTTTTTGGATAAGACCCCAGAAGCACAGGCAACAAAAGCAAAAATAGACAAATGAGAGTGCATCAGCTAAGAAGATTCTGCACAGCAAAGGAAACAGTCTACAAAGAATCAATTGACAGAATGGGAAAAAATATTTGCAAACTGTTCATCTCACAAAGGATTAACATCTAACTGATGACTAGATAAACCGGTATATTTAAACAATGGAATACTACTTAGTTGTGAGAAAAAAAGTTAAATCCTATTTCACAATAAAATGGATGCAATTGGAGACCACTATGCTTAGTGAAATAAGCCAGCCCCCAAAACACAAATATATGTATTTGTTAATTTGTAGTAACAAATATACAGAGTCAAAAAAGTGTAACATATGAGCAAAATGACCTTTTGAGATTTGATTATTATTTATAGCCCTTTTCTATACTCTTGAAAAAAGTGGTTTTTTTAGCCTATTACCTGTTGAATTCTTTATTTAATAGAGGATAAAGCTTGTCATTATAAAGTAAATTGAAAGTAGATCATTGTAAAATTAAAAAGAAAAGTAAGAAAGGAAAGGAAAAAGAATGTTAACGAGGAAGCAAAGGAGGTAAGGTTGTATGTATCTTTATGCTCTTAAAACTGTATATATGAAATATATGAAATTTGTTCCACTTACATAAATAAAATTTTTAAAAATACAAATAAATTTTTAAAACAGATTTTGGAAAGTATAAAAATTAATTACTTCTCACTAGTTACTGCCTGTACATATGGAAAAACATATCTATCTCTTTTTTGCTAAGATGGTCATATTTCACAACATGATACAAAGTACACAATTCATTCTTAAGTCTTCTAGTGGAACATTAACATCAGCTTCATGACAAAAATGTCTGTTTTCATGGATATTTCTAAACTTGGATACATTATTTGAATAATTACACTGATATTCTGGGTAACTTCACTTGAACTATTTATACAATACATGAATTCAATTTTAATATCAAATATCACTGACTGAATAGCTTTTATTCATCTAATATTATAAAAGAAAACAAACTAAAAATATGTGGTCAGCTGATATTAAAAGAATGTGTCAACGTAATTCAATGGGGAAAAAATATTTTGCAGTAAATAGTGTTGGATAGACCAGATATAAAGAGATAACAACTCAGATACTCTCAAAAGCTAACATTAGAAAGACAGACTATGACAAGTGTTAAATAGGATGTGAAGTAACTAGAACCTGGAAACACTGGTAATGGAAATTTAAGATGGTACAAATACTTTGTAAACAGTTGGTTGTTTCTTTAAAATGTTAAACAGTTGTCTAGTCATTCCACTGTTTATTGCATAGACATGAAAGAGAAGTACACACACAGAAACATATGTGAATGTTTGTACTGGCTGCACTATAAAAGCCAGAAACTAAATCAAATGTCCATTAGCAGATGCATATCTGAACACAGCATAGTCTATATGCATACAATGAAATTCTACTCAATAGTAAAATAAGTAAACTATTGATACAACATGTATCTATCCCAAAATAATAATGCTGAGTGAAAAAAGTCAGAAAAAATGAATTTGAATTGTATGACTCTTTGCATATAACTTTTAGAAAATGGAAACTAACTTATAGTTGCATAAAGGAAATAAGAGGTTTCCTGAAGACAGGCATAAACGAAGGAAAGTACTACAAATAGACGCAGATAAAGTTTTGAGGTGACAGTAACAATAAAAGCACTAACCACAACCATTAATCAACCTCCATAACTACATAATACAGCTACACCTATACTACCTTCAAAATGAAGTTAAATATGTTCACTATCTTGATTGGTATGGTAGTTGCATGGATGTATAATTAAGTCAAAACTCAATAATAATACAATTCAAAAATGTATAGCTTATGGAACATCAACTATAGTTTAATAACATTGTAAAAAATAAGAAAAAAGGGAAGAATTATCTTCAGCCTACAAATACTCAATTTCTTTGTAATGCAAAGAATTAAGTCAAACTTAAAGGAATAAATATAGTTCATATTCAAGAAATTTTCCAACAGAGATATGACATTGATTTGTTATCTATGTTTGTACAAGCATTTTTCCTTTTGTAAAAAGATTTATTTATTTATTTGAAAGGCAGAGCTTACAGAGAGAAAGAGGTATCCGCCATCTATTGGTTCACTCCCTAAATAGCCACAACAGGTGGAGCTGGGCCAGTCAGAAGCCAGGAGCCAGGAGCTTCTCCTGGATCTTCCATGTGGGCCCAAGGGCTGCTCTTCTCCACTGCCTTTCCAGGCAAAGTGCAAGGAGCTGGATTGGAAGTGGAGCAGCTGGGACTTGAAAGAGTGTTCATATGGGAGGCCAGCACTGCAGGCAGAGGCTTTACCTGCTACAACACAATGGCCCCTGTATAAGCATTTTCTACTAATACTGCTGTCATAGACATCTAACACCTGATGCAGCATTTATAAAATATCAAAAATACTACAGAAGGATAATAAATACTCAGTTTTCCTAAATTACTATTAACAAACATCATTTCTAGTAGATAAGAGAAAGATGTGATTATTTACCTGTATCTTAAAATGTTAACTCATTTGCAGGTAGTAAAAGTGGAAGACAGATCCATTTTCATATCCCCATATGATTTTGTTGTGTTAATTCCTGGGAATCTATCTATCTCACTCATAATCAAGTATTATACACAGGTAATCATTTATCTTCTCATACTACAAACAACAGATTGACCTATTTTTGCATTTTTTCTTACCATTTTGTTTCTTTAGAATATAAGCCTCTAGTTTTCCTTTATCTAAACATATTGCTTCATTTCTCAAAAGAAATATTTTAAATGAATCTATGAATGCCTGAATATAAAAGATCTCTAGGTACTTTTCTTACTACATAAACTACTTGTCACTTCAAATTCCTCAATATTATCCAGGGACTCTGAAAAGTTACAATTGAATTTTAACAATTCCCTAGCATGTTATCCAGTAAGATTACTCTATTTCTTCTTAAAATTGTAGACAGAGCAAAACTTAATCAGCTTTGAGCTGTAATACACATTAATTCACTCTTTCTTAGACAATTAAGTTTGCTGGTCCAGGAGGAAAATGGTGGCAGTGGCAGCTGGGTCCATGGTTTCTCAGCTTCTAGGACGGTCCTGCCTATGTCGGCCTATGTCGAGTGGCACTCATGGCAATGAGGGCTCAGCTCCCAAGCAGAAGGCCCCCAACTACTTCGTTAAGCTCTGCAGCATGGGTGAAAGCATGCTGAATGTCTACTTGAAATCACACCATGAAGAGCACTGGAGACCTGAGTTCATTGCCTACCACTATCTCCACATTAGGTCAAGACCCTTTCCCTGGGAAGATAGGAACCCTCCTGTATTCCATACTCCTCATGTGAATCCACTTCCAACTGGCTATGAAGATGAATGACCAGAACCTGTACTCTGACAGGCACATGGCCACCGGGTACCACAGCACCAGTTTGGACCACCACTGATATTCCATCTCTTTGCTTACGGCAGAAGATGACTTAAATAAATAATTTAAACTTAAAAGAAAATGAAAGTTTGTGCTGAGTGGACAGCTGTTACTCACCACCTCCACTGCTAGAGTATATACTGCTTCCTGAGTCACAGCAACTAAGTCACTGACTGCAGTTATTTGCTCTAAAACAGCTTAGATCTACACTAATAATTTTCACTGTGCCTAATGGCAATCCCAAGGGCTGTAAATGTAATCAAAGAGCATATCTAATGAACTTCTCAAAGAGACACTTTTATGATATATATTAAATACAATGAAAACGTGAAAGTTGGGAACTAATAAAAGAACATAGAGAATATTTCAAGTTTAAGGTCCCATACCATATCTGATTGCCACATTACACATTAGTCAGACTACAAAATGAAAATTAGTATTACTTAGCTATCCAGCAATTGAGGAACTTGATAGGAACTCATAAATCTGTGACTAGCACAAAACTCAATTAAGAACATTTTTTGAGTATTACTGGAAGAAGAGTTATAATTAGAACAATAATAGGACATTTATTACAAACCTTGATGTATGAGTGCAAATTTTCAGACTTTTCTTTAGAGCTTTCAGTAAATCTTTATTGTTCTAAGACTTCTAAAAAGCCCAGAAATCACAGAGACAGAAGGCAATAAACTCAACAGAAAAGCACATGCTTTGTAGCACAGAAAACATATACCCTGCATCTAGCATTTACTTCCATACTATATGAATTAGGCAAGTTATCTCACCCCTCTGAGCTTCACTTCCTTCATCCATTAAACAGGAATGATAATAGTACTTAGACCCACAGGATTATAATAAATACTAAACAAAATAGTATGCACGTGAATTACTTAGCATAATACTTGACACACGGAGCTCAATAAATGCTCCTTGCCATTATTAAGATTACATTGTGCTTTTTTTTCAAATTGCAGAAATATACTGTTAAATTACAATGACTAGACTTTCCAGATCCATTTTCTATTCCACAATAATAAAATACAAGTGACTCAATATACAGCAATTTTTATCATTTAAATGTATTAAGCATTCTACTGATGACTGAATAAGCAGATATATTTCTTTACACAGTGGAATGACATTCAACTTTCATAAAGAAGGAAATCCTGTCACTTATGACAAAATAAATCAAACTAGAGGACATTATGCTAAGCAAAATAAGTCACACACAGGAAGATAAATACTATATGATCTCACTTGTATGTGGACTCTAAAAAGTCCAACTGAAAAATCAAGAGACTAGGACAGTGCTTGCCAGAGTCTGAGTGGTGCTAGGTGGAGAATGGGAGATCTTAGGTAAGTAGCAAAATGATCCAGTTTCAGTTAGGATGAACAAGTTCCGTACATCTGTTTTACAACAAAGTGACTATAGTCTGTAATAATGAATATTTAAAAATTCCTAGAAGGATATTTTAAATGTTCTTCCCACAAAAAAAAATCACGTATGTGAAGTAATGGATATGTCTGTTAGCTTGAGCAAATTATTTCACAATATATACATATATCAATAAATTGTAATATATAATACAGTAAGTATATGTAATTCCTTAATAAAAAATAAATTCATTAAGGGAAAATATTAGGTCATATACTTTTTGTTTCCCAACAGGAAGAGTCTGCACTATTAAAAGCTATTTGGTGGACTTCATTCCAAATCAATCATACTTCATCAATGGCCTATGAAGAAATAGTACTCCATAGTTTTACAAATTTGTCATGAGGACAGTATGCTCATACCACTGAGAGAATAAATTTTAGATTTATCTGAAGAATTTACTGGAAATCTAGACACACAAAGATGGGACTTCTACAATTCTCTATGTTCAAATATAAATTTGCAGTTTAAATATTAGATTTAAAAAACTTGATTACTCAGTTTTCTTCACTTCAGTGTTACTGGCTCCTTAATAGCTCCAACTCTACACACGACTCTCCCACTCCACTGCCCTTTGCAGTTCAGGCAGCCATACAGCCTCCTAAAAAAGCCTCCTTAGCTAGTCTTCCCCCGCTTCCTTCTTTGCTTCTTATCAATTATACAACAAGGCTGCTAGAGCAATCTTTCTAAAAATGTGTATTTCATTAAAACCCTTGAGGGCAGCCATTTCTCCCCAAAGAATCTCCAAGTTACTAGTATGGCATATAAAACCTTCAAGGAGAGTGGTTCTGTGCTTGCATCCTATGCTGTGAACTTCCCAATCTTACACTCCGTCCCAAATACAAATCACAACCCAGTCAGAATAAACATCAGGCCTTCAAACATGCCATTCTTCCCAGCACACTTACTTTCCTCCATCTTAAGGATTCTTTTTCTTTCTGAAGCTGTTTTGGATCTCAGCTTAGAAGCCATATTACAGAAAAACAAAATAACAACAACAAAAACACCACAGTCTTTTCAGGACCCCAAAGTTTGGATTAGGTTCTCTCTTGTAAGTGATTATAGCAATCTATGTTTTATTTATTTAACATCATTTACTCAGAAAATATTTATATTTACTGAGAGTCCACTACTTTACAGGCTGTATATTCTAATAATTTAGATAAAGCTGAGACTCCAAGAATTCCTGAGTGGGCAGGATATTTAAAAAATAATTAACGTACGTCAGATGGGTTTAAGTGCCTTCACTGGAAAAGGAGTCAGAAGAACAGAAACAGGCTACGTCAAGTCAGGGTACTTTGTTGTTTCACGGGATGTCAAGGGCCACTTCCTGGAGGGGATACTAACAAAGACCTAAAGGAAATGAGTGAGCAGTGGGAGTCCGAATCAGAGGCGCGACAGGCAATGGCTGGGGCCCTCAGCTCAGAAAGTGCTCGGCTTCTTGACAAGCTCCTGAAGCCACAGCGGAGCAAGACAGGGAGAGCAGTCAAGTGGGAGGGCATCTGGGGCCCTGGAGACACTGTAAGGCCCTTAGATATGCCACTGCTGGAGAAGCACAGCCAAGGAAGGCAACAGAAGAGACATCTGATACCACTTGGACTGCAAAAAGACAGCTGCAGCTGTGGAAGCAGGGAGACCAACCACATCATTGCAACACATGAAGCAAGAGAAGACAGTGGTTTGGACTTCACTCCAAGTAACAAGCACAAGTCAGATTCTATATTTAATTTGGACATAATATGAACAGAATTTACTGCTAGAAGGGATACAAAGTCTAAGAGACAAAAATTAAAGGTATCACCAAATTTTCTGATCAGAGTAACTGGAAGGGTAGAATTCTCATTACCAATATAGGTAGCACAAAAGGAGAAAGCCAAAGTGGAGTATCTAATAGTTGTTCAAGTTATGATACCAATTAAGTGGTATAAACAAAGCAGAAGTGTATGAGGGAATTCAGGATGGAGACACTAGACAGTTTCAGTTGTTCTAGAAGAGACTGCCCATGGAAAGACTGGAAACAGAAAACAGATGAAACCCTGTGACTAAGCCCTCATTTGGGAAGCTTAAAAGCAGCAGCGAACGAGAACAAAAAGGCATGGCTGGTGAAATGAACGATTTCTTGAGAGCCAAACTAGGGAAGCATCTAAGTTGGAGTGATCACTGCATCAAACGAAGGAGCTAGGTCAGGACAGCTGAAGACCAAGATACCATCATTTAACTGGCAGCATGGAGACCAGCAGTGATGTCTACAAGAGTCATTTTAGTGGCCAAGATAAGTACAGCCAAAATGTAATTAGTCAGGGTTCAGGAAATAACAGAAGAAGACAAAGTCAAGACATTGAGTACTGACCAACTTTTGTGACAAGCTTTACTGTAGGACACATAGAGATAAGAACTTGGCTGGAGGAAAATGTGGGTTGACAACAGAATTTCTTCTTACATAAATGAGTTAATAACAATTTGTATACTAATGAAAATAAATTAATATTCTGTAGTAAGAAGAGCAGTGAAAATACCACTGAACACACTAATATTCAATATATGTAGTATAAAAATGATGATGATATTTCTGTGGAAAAGTAGAATAAAAGGTAAGTTGGGGTGGGTATTTGGTGCAGCAGGTAGATGCCATCAGGACAGCTACATCCTATGTTGCAGCACCAGAGTTCAAGTCCTGATTCCAATTATGATTCTGGCTCCCTGCTAATGTGTACACTGGTAGGCAGCTCAAGTATTTGGTCCCTGACACCCTTCAGCAAGACGCAGACTGAACTACAGGCTCCTGATTTTGCCCTAGCCTAGCCTAAGCAATTACCTGCATTTGAGGAGAGAACCAGTGAAAGGAATATCTCCCCTCTCTCTTTCGTCTTCTCCCTGTCCATCTCTGTTTCTATCTATGTCTCTTTGCCTTTCAAATAAATATAAATTACTTTGATACAAAAAATTTTTAAATGCAAGCATAATTTTTCACAATATGCATTCCCATGAACTTTGTGAAGACTATTCATGTAATACCCTGCTACTGATTTCAAAATATGAAGTTTTTTTATGTAACCTTTTTTTAACTTTTATTTAGTAAATATAAATTTCCGAAGTACAGTTTATGGATTACAATGGCTTTCCCACCCCCATAATTTCCCTCCCACTCGCACCCCTCCCATCTCCCATTCCCTCTCCCATCCCATTCACATCAAGATTCATTTTCAATTATCTTTATATACAGAAGATCGATTTAGTATATATTAAGTAAAGATTTCATCAGTTTGCACCCACACAGAAACACAGAGTGAAAAATACTGTTTCAGTACTAGTTATAGCATTACTTCACATTGGACAACACACTAAGGACAGATCCCACATAAGGAGTAAGTACACAGTGACTCCTGCTGTTGACTTAACAATTTGACGCTCTTGTTTATGGCCTCAGTAATCTCCCTAGGCTCTAGTCATGAGTTGCCAAGGCTATGGAAGCCTTTTGAGTTCGCCAACTTCGATCTTATTCAGATAAGGTCATAGT